GGACCACCACCGCCACCAGCAGCAGCAGCAGCAGCAGCAGCAGCAGCAGCAGCAGCAGCAGCAGCAGCAGCAGCAGCAGACCTTGATGGGGCTGGTGTAGACGACTCTTTGTTTGTCGCGGAGGGCCATGGCAACAGCATATTCTGCTACAACAGTTTTGCCCGCGGAAGTGTGAGCAGCAACAAGGACATTCTCTCCTGCTTCCAAACACAAAATGCTGCGCTGCTGGAAACTGTCCAGCACGAACTTCCACTGACGCGCAGCAACTCGCGGCTGCTGCTGCGCTGCTGCTGCTGCTGCTGCTGCTGCTGCTGCTGTGGGTGCTGCTGCTGCTGCTGCTGCTGCTGGTGTGGGTGCTGCGGGGGCGGGGGAGCTCGACGCCGCGCGGGAGGGGGGCCCGGGGGCGTCGGACGCTGCAGCTGCGTCTGCTGCTGCTGCTGCTGCTGCTGCTGCTGCTGCAGCAGCAGCAGGGCTCCCACTGTCTGCAGCAGCAGCAGACGCAGGGCTCTCGGAGGCCTCCGCCTGCGGGGGCCCCTCGGCGGCTTCTGCTGCTGCGGCTGGCGCCCCGCCGTCCTTGCTGCCGCCGTCAGCTGCAGCAGCAGCGCCCCCTGCTGCTGCTGCTGCAGCAGCAGCAGCAGCAGCAGGGATTGTTGTCTGCAGCGGGAAGTCCCTAAAGCGAGTCGGAACAGACTCGGGATAAACAACTTCATGAAGACAATTTTTGTCGGAGAGCAAAACTCGAGTTTTGAGGCCATCAGTAGCAGGGGCCCCTGCGAAGGGGTTGTCCGTTCCCTCTGCTGCAGCTGCTGCTGCTGTTGCTGCTGCTGCTGCTGCTGTTGCTGCTGCTGCTGCAGGGCCCGACGCGCTCAAACCCTCCGCCTTCGGCTGCCGCTTCCCACCAGGGGCCCCATCCTGGGCTGCGGGGGCCCCCCGCCGCTTCTTCTTGTTTTGCTGCTGCTGCGAAGAGCTGCCCCCTCTTTTGGAGTTGCTGCTGCTGCTCTTTTCCTTGGTTTCATTCTTTGCAGCAGCAGCAGCAGCAGCAGCAGCTTCCGATTTGGCTGCTGCGGCTGCTTTCTTTGCTGCAGGTGCAGCTTCTGCCGCTGCAGCGCCGCTTTTGAAAACTGAGAAAAGAGCTTCGAGAGACTCCGGCTCCTGGGGCTCCATTTTGCCTGCTGCTGCTGCTTCTGCTGCTGCTGCTGCTGCTGCTGCTGCTGCTGAAGCCGACGGCGCTGCTGCGGAAGCTGCAACACCGCCAACAGCACGCAGATCGTATCCCTCAAGGCCAGCTGCTCTAGCTGCGCCCAGGACTCATCAGAAGGCAGCTGCGCAGCAGTTGCTGCTGCTGCTGCTGCTGCTGCTGCGCGTGGCCTCTGCCGCCGCTGCTGCTGCTGCTGCTGCTGCTGCACCTGTTGGCTCCGCTGCCGCCTCTAGGAGCAGCAAACGACAGCGGCCTGCTGCTTCTAAGACAAAGATCTAAAAATGAAATGGAAGACATGGAAGCCTCGGCTTCCTTTCAAAGCCGCAAACCCTAAACCCTAACCCTGGCCCCAGTGGCTTGGGGCGCATGTGTGGGGCCCCGGAGCTGCTGCTGCAGCTGCCAGCCAGCAGCAAAAGTGGCTTTAAAATTAAAAAAAAGCATTTAATTAATTCTAATTTATCATTTAAAAGTAGTTTAGTTCACTTTTAAGCAGTCGCGCCCTTCTGAGGAGCCCTTTCAGCTCTGCTGCGTTTTTGCACAGACCCAATCCGTGCTGCTGCTGCTGCTGCTGCTGCTGATGCTGGTGCTGCTGCTGCGGCTGATGCTGGTGCTGCTGCTGCTGCTGCTAAAGATTGCCGCTACCGTGAGCTGCTGCTGCTGCTCCGGCAGATGGCACCTACTGCGGGCGGCGGTTCGCGCAGCAGAAACTGGCCCAAATAAATGCATTTTAGAAATTAATAAAAGCCCCAAGAGAAAGCCTCAGGCCAGCAACATGAAGCAGCAAAAGAAGCAAAAAGCTCTCAGAGAAAATTCAATAGCTGCAGAGCAGCAGCAAAATTCGCAGCAGAGAGGCTTGCTGCTGCTGCAGCAGCGGGGGCCCCACACTGGCTGCGCGCTGCTGCTGCTTCAGCAGCAGCGCAGCAGCAGCAGCGCAGCAGCAGCGCAGCAAGTAGGGCCACTGAGGCCCCCTTTGCTGCTGCAGCATCGCTTGGCTTGCTACAGCTTTTAAAAGGGCCTCCACTTTGGGGGAGTGCCTGGGGTGGCTTGCACACAAGAACTTGCAGCTAGCTAGCTAGCTAGCTAGCTGGCTAGCTAGCTACTTGAAGTTAGCTAGCTGGCTTAAAGCCCCTAGGGGCCCCCTGGGGGGCCCCTAGGGGACTTATGGGCCCCCTGGGGCCCCCAAACCCCCAGGGCACTGGGGCCCCCCTGCTGCTCAGCAGGGGGGCCCCTGAGGGCCTCCTGCTGCGCTGCTGTCTGCTGCTGCTCTGCTGCTTCCCAAAATTTGGCAGCAGCAGCAACAGCAGCAGCAGCCCGTCGCTGCGCAGCAGTGCTGCTGCTAAGCAGCAGTCCGGTGCCGCTTAGCTGCTTGCAAGGCCTTGGCCTCCCCGCGCTGCAGCAATCTGCTGCTGCGCAGCAGCAATCTGCTGCTGCGCAGCAGCAATCTGCTGCTGGGCAGCAGCAATCTGCTGCTGCGCAGCAGCAGCCTAATGCTGCTTTGCTGCTTGTCCCCAGCTCTCCTTTTAGCTGCTCTTAAAACTGTTTTCTAGTCTTCTCAGCAAGGGGTGCAGCAACTACCTGGCTAGCTGCACTAGCAGCAGCAGCAGCAGCAGCAGCAGCAGCAGCAGCAGCAGCAGCAACAGCAGCAAGCTGTTTCTTTGGCCTCTTTTGCCTCCCCATCACCCACACGACTCAACCAAAGCAGCAGAGTCTTGGCCAGGCTACGCAGGGCTAACAGCAGCAGTCGCTGCCACCAAGTGCGCTCCCGCTGCTGCTGCTGCGGCTGCTGCTGCGGCTGCTGCTGCTGCTGCTGCTGCTGCTGCGGCGGCTACAAAAGCTGCAGCGGCGGGAACAGCCGGCCTAGGCTTTGCGCATGCGCGCTCCAGTGACATCAAAGGAGATACAAGTGCTCGCTGCTGCAGGCACTGTTGCTGCAGCTGCTAGCACGGCAGCAGCAGCAGCAGCAGCAGCAGCAGCAGCAGCAACGCTCGCTTCAAGCCGCCTCCGCAAAGAGGCACAGGGGGGCCCTGGGCACTTTAGATAATGCATGCAGCAATGGCTGTCTCAAACAGTTAACCCCTCCTTATATCTCTACCAAACCCACAGGCCCAGTGGGCCCCAGGGGGCCCCCAGGGGGCCCCCAGGGGGCCCCCTGGGGGCCCCCAGGGGGCCCCCTGGGGGCCCCTGTGAGTGGCAGCAAGAAGCAGCAGCTTGCTGCAGTTAGCTGCGGCTGCAGCAGCCCCCAGCCCCCCGCACTGGCTGCGAGGGGCCTATGCGGACATTTTGCTGCTGCCGACTTTGCTGCTGCCCCACCTGCACGCGGGCCTTAATCTCCGACGCCATTATGTGGAAAGCCTGCATGCATGCGCCCCACAACCCCTCCCGCTGCTGCTGCTGCTGCTGCTGCTGCTG